CGCCAAATAGACAAAGATGAACGGCGTCGCTTCGCATTTTTTACTGAAATTTTGTTGAGTGAACTATAAACAAAAAATCGCACGATCTTCTCGTACAATTTGGAATTACTTAATCAAAAAATCTTGAAAAAGAATATACAGGGCTCCCACTATAGAATAATATCTATTAATAAGTTATGGGTTATTTATATTTAATAATTATGAATTCACCAATAAACTGTATAAGATAGAAGATCGAGGCTGGTTATATTGAAATATGTGTTATTTTCTTCTTGCAAACTCAGAATTCATTCAAAACCGAAAAACACACAAGCACAATTAATTCATAGAAAAATCACACACATTTCAAGTACCTCTCTAACGAATTTGATAATTAACTTTTACTAGTACCTTTTACCAGTACTTTTGAAAGTAAATAAGCTTAAGGACCTCAAAGAAAAAGTAAACATTGAACGCCGCGGAAAAGTCACTGAATGAAACACATCTTGAAAAATTCATAAGCCACCTATAAATATTTATCAATTAACTATAGGCCATTTAATAATTTTAAATTTAAGATAGAAACCGCGCACAATATATAGATAATTTATGGGGCTCGCTATATATATTGAAAAAGTTTTCGTCTTCTTTTTCCACAATCAAAAACAAAACAAACATTTGCCATCCTCATAAGCTGCTGTATTACCTTTAAATGTAATAACACCCATAAATGTAATACCCACCATAAATGTAATAACACCCATAAATGTAATACCCACCATAAATGTAATAAAAATCAACCAAAAAGGTAATAACAGTCAACCATAATTGTGATAATCGACCACACCATAAATGTAATAATCAAAACCCACCATAAATGTAGTAACCCCTCCAACCATAAATGTAATAACCAAGTATTCAGTCCGGAGAGTCAAACAAAGTGTTCAATCAAGAAATATGAGGTAGAAGATTCCAGAAGATTCAAGGCAAACAATACCCGCCAAGGCACTAAAGGATATCAAAGTTTAAGATTTCTGGAGCTAAATCGTTTGCAGACCAAAGTTGTGTAGAGTAGCCTTGTCGTTACGATCTTCTGAGATTAAGTTTTGTTTTTCACCCAAACACAACATACTCCTCCTTGAGAACGCTTGGCATTTCTGGGCCTACTTTCGTCCTCTGGGGCGTCGTGAACCAGGCCCGGATCTCGCGTTTTCTTGGACGATAAATTGTTTACCTTTTTATAAATGACTACATCAATTCTGAACATGCACTCATGTCAATTCAGGGTTAGTGTTAAAAAGGGGTAATACTATAACCGTGCTAAAAATGAAAGCAAATAATCGGAATTCGGATGTTGCACACCGATAGCACTATCTTACGCAAAACATTGGAGTCATTGGGCAATGTTTTACAGCATTCCCCTTTTTAACCCTAACCCTAACCCTAACCCTAACTGTTGTTCAGGAATAAAGACTTTTTTGTATTACTTTATTCATTTAGATTTAGATAGATTTTTATTGAAAATTTTATCGCAGCCCATGGGCTGAGTTACGTAATTATGTACAAACAATAAAAAATATATATAATTA